GCTCGCTCCACGATACTATATATATATATATATTATAATATAGTAGAGAGAGAGAGANAGAATGGAAAAAAGCTAAAAATGTGCCAGCCTAACTTAGATAAGCTAAATACGCCAACGGCCCAGATTCAATCTGGGCCAATCTGACGATCACGGATGTCTGGTAGTGTTTAAATTTTAATTTTTTTATACAAATATAAATCACTTGAAATTTTACGTGTATGTTCCTTTCATCAAGGCGCACCTAATAAAAATATAAAAAAAATTATTCGTAAAAAAATAATTAACGAAAATACCCCCGAACTTTTTAAGGGTATTTGATCAATTTTTTTATGTAAAATATTTTTAAAATATTTTTCAAATATGCGCCTAGTTTTTATGGACACACGCCTAAAATTTCAAGTGTTTTGGGTTTGTAGAAAAAAAAATTAAAATTCAAATACTACCGGACATCCGTGATCGTCAGATCGGTCCATATTCAACCTGGGCCATTGGCGCATTTAGCTTATCTAAGCTAGGCGGCACACCCTATCTTTTTCCATATATATATATATGATTATACTATGTACATCAATTTTTTTTCCTTTTTCCTTGGAAGAAACTTGGGTTAAAACTTAAAAGTGAGACTAAGAGCATATTTGGATGACTGTTAATCTTATCTGAAACTATCTTATTTGAAACTCATATTCTCTTTGTAATATTTATAAATATAATATTATTTATTTTTTAAAATTATTTTGGCAATTTAAAGCTATTTTTAGTTATTTTTTGGTTGAAAATATGTGATTTCGACAAATTATTTGAATAAAGTAAAAAACGTCCCAAAAAGATAAATTTTAACAAAACGATAAATTTATATGTAAAACTGTGTATCAATTTATCTTAAATAGTTTTATGTTTTGCATTAATTTATAGCCATCTAACTCAAACTTTTATGAAACTTTTCTCTCAACTTGTTTTGTAGAACTTCTATAATCTTCTAGCTATTTGTGCTTTAAGTCCATTCAGAGGACTATAGAGGTGGTAGGACTGTGACTAACGACGACTCACTCTTTTGCATATCTCCCTCCCATTTGAGTTGTGCCTTTACTCTTCTTGCCGTTAAGAAACTTCTATATGGCCCGCATGTTTAGGGATGGCAAGGGGCCGGGCCAGCCCTCGGACCAGACTAAAGAGACCTTGGCCCAAGCCTAGGCCTGGCCTTGTCAGGATTGGGTTGGGCCAGTCCAAATAGAATCAAAGAAAAAAAATAAAAGAAATAGATATGGAAAAAAAGGCCGGAACTGCGCCAGTCTTATCACGGCCCTGGGTCCCGGCCAGGCCAACATTAGGATGTGGTGGGCCAATCTTGGCCCAGCCCTAGTTTTTTAGGGCCAACTGGCTAGACGGGGCCAGGCCCTCATATGCACATAGGAATTCTTTTTAAAATTGTTTTTGGCCCAACCTAGCGCCGCCCAAAAATACATACCGGGCCAAAGGAGCCCGGCCCGTCTACCTTAAAATCTTGCCCAAACCTGGCTGGAAATCCTGTGGCCCGACCCGCTACCAGCTTTAGTTGTTGGCGTGCATCCAAAGCGCAATGCTGGAGCCTCTCAAGTTAAATGTTTGGCGCGGTTTGGCACTTGGTAAGGGATTGAATTTCTTAAAATTTTTGTCCAACTCGCTCTCTCTCTCCCACCATTCCTCTCTTGTCTTTGGGCTCTGAGGGACCCGTTTCTTGTGCCTTGGAAGCTACTATTGTTAGCCTATCATACAAGTGAGGGCCCAATTTTCTCTAAGTTTCAACCTCAATGACCATATGAAAAACTTCATAGAACGGTGAGCTCCTAAACATTCAAATTAAGGCTTACTTCAAAAATTTATTAAAAAATATTTTTTGATGCTAAAAAATTTCCAAATTAATCATCGTGACCTCAAGATGTATGATATGAGAAAAAGTAGATTTCATGTCCTCGAAATAGTGCATCATGTAATATATTGTCTCGATCGTCAATTTAAGATTTTCAAGGGTTCATAGATCTGTTTGATCTACGTTACTTTTGAAGCTTTAAGTTTTATAATTAGATATGAAAATGAATTTTAAGGCCATCACAAATATATTTAATACGG